TGACAGTCTCACTCTGTTTCTCAGGTTGGGTGCAGTAGTACAATGACAGCTCACTGCACCCTCAACCTTCTAGGCTCAAGTGATTCTCTTGCCTCAGCCTCCCCAACTGCTGGGATCTACAGGCGTTAACCACCACACACAGCTTATCACCTCTTGGAGACTAGCTTTGAGTTTGGGCATTCACTGGAACTATATTTTGGTTAATTCTCAAAGTTTGTCACTGTTTATCTTTAATTTGCTAAAAATCTATAGGTATTGTGAAATGCATTACATTTCCTTAGCATTTATGGATTCCCTGTTAGTGGGGCAGAGATGCAGAAGGGCAGAAGGCGTTCGGGCATCATCAGGGTTGCAGTTGAGTGCTTGCCCCGAACACACTGGGGCTCTGGGCTCTGTGGCCCTACGGGGTCCTCTGTCCACTGAGGGGCCGGGTTACCTGGAAGGTCCCTCCAGCCTCTGCCATTTTGCCCTTTTCAGGTTAATATCTCATCGTTGTCCTGGACAGCACTGCCATTCGTTCACTGACCCACGAGTGAACAGCTGGTCCATGGCCAGTGCTTCTTCCTGCAGCTTGGAGGTGGTGATGTGATAACACTTCCTTGGAACGTGGTTCTTGGTGTGTATTAATGGTTCAGTTGTATGTTTCTTTTTAATCTGCACCTCTGAATTGGTCTTTTGATTGCAAAGAGATTGCTTACTGGATTTGTTTCTGAATATTTCGTGGATAACAGGAGAACCTTGTTTATCTGTGTGTTCATTTAATGTGTTTTTGCCAGGCATTTGAATGGGTGTGTTAGCCCTTAGCCCACTTTCTGTGTGTGGTGGAGTCATTGAAATCATTTATGTGAAGTCTCTCTTCTATTAAGGCCGGAGGACGTGGGGTGGTGTCTCCCTAAACTAGGGGGAAATGACTTGTTCTGCCCTCCTCCCTGGGAATGCTGGTGTTTCCAGGTCTCTGAACTTGGCTCCCACACTGGGAGAGTGGCTGTGGCTTCTGGAGCCCGTTTTGTGCGGGACTGACTCCTTCACTTGCTTTATTCCCCACCGTCTTTGTTGCTTTATAATGCAGGGATGAGGAAGTTGGGCCCGGGGGCCTTGTCTGTGCCTGAAGGGCCCGATGCAGAAACTCCTCGCAGAAACTCCTCGTGGGAAGGATGTTCCTTGAGGGCAACTTTTGGAGTCTTTTCCTAATTTTAACTGAGAAGTAGCTATTCACATGGTTCTATTCTGCTAGGGTGTTTCAAAATAATTGGTGTAGAGTTACGAAGATGTCCGAGACACCCATGATCCACTCCGGGCCAGTGCCGGACATTGAGCTCAGATGCATTCAGACCACATTCAGATGCCAAAGATTCTTGCTTGGTTATTCTCAAACTTATGAGAATCTAAAACGCGAGCCACGGTATGGATTTTCTCTTGAGCCCCCATGACTTTGCCTTGTATTTTGGGCATGAATGACTTCATCAAGGGGAAAGAATTTGAGGAAGGAGCCTCTGAGGCTAGGAGAGGGTGGGAAGGGGCGGTGGGAAGAGAAGGGAAAAGGAGCTGTAGAGGGAAGAGCCAGGCTGGGGCTGCGGCATCTCCTCATGTTGCTCCCCCACCCCTGGCGCAAGGCCCCAGGGACTGACTGATTTTCCCACAGGAAATGTGTATGATTGCATGTCTGTTTTGTGGGCCGGCCATTTGGATTGAGGGAATGTCCGTGTTGTGATTCCTTATTGATTTGAAGGTTGAAAAGGTTTGTGCTCAATACACGGGTCTCTTGGTGCGATGAGAAATGTGACCGCAGCCGCCTTCAGGGTGGGGAGAGCCCTTGAGGCCCTCAGTGGTGGGCGGTGTCGGCCTTCGTTTCCCTGGGTGAGCTGCCCTCAGAGTAGGCAGGGAGGTCCTCGGTGGTGGCCGCTTTGGCCTTCGCCTCCGTGGGTGAGTATTGCTCCATCCCCGGCTCTCCGACTCCTTGCCTGGCATCTTCTTCGTTGGAGGCCGTGATCCATCAACCTTGTCCACGCGTGTCCTGTAGACTAGTGCTGACTGTAGGTTCAGGAGTGGTCAGAGGAGGCCCTCGTGATGCGAAGCTAAACGTTTAATGATGGCGCTGCTGAGTGCATGAGCCACGTCAGCCCAAGTGGCTGGGTAGGAGGGAACCGCGGGGTGGAGGGAAGACTGGACAGATGGGTGCTTTCCTCGGCCCCTGGGAGCATGGCCAGGTCCATGCTCAGACCTCCTGGTTTCTCCCATATTTCCATAAATAGCAAGGGAAGGACTCGGGGCACCCAGGGACCTCAGGGGTATAAGCTGTGTCCTCGCGTGGCCCCAGCTGTGGCCAGTGATGATATTCTCTTTAACCTCAGGCTTATTTTGTATAAAAACACAAAGGGACAGAAGTAGTTCAAGGGCCTCTAAAGATTTACGTAATTGTTAATAGGCCTACTTTTATGCTTTCTTATGTATTAAGAGCAAATCATGAAACAAACTCATTTCTGTTTGAAGAAATCTTGACGATTCTCATTTTTGTGGCAAGCAACATTGATTTTTTGTTTAGTGAGCGTTAGTGCCCTCCTGCCCAGTGCTGCTGCCTGGCGTGTCCTCGCACACAACTCTGTCCATTGGTCTCCGTTCACCTTTCCGCCTAGAATTGTAGGAGGGGCGCTAGGATCTTAGGGCTAGAAAGAAACTCTGAAGACCACTTTTAGGGGCGGCTTCTGGTCAGGGCTCTCCAGAGAGACAGCCAGCCAGGTGTGCATGTGTCTCCAGCGGGAGGGCTGTTGCAGGGGTACGGAGTCCAAGAAGCCCCAGGACCCACAGCCTGCAAGCTAGAGTCCTGGGAGGGTGTGGCTTGAAGACTTGAGAAGCGGAGGGTGCAGATCCCACCCGGGTCTGAGGAGCTGAGACCCAGGAGCACGGGCTGCAGAAGACAAATGTCACTGGCCCATCAGCCAGACAGGTGGAGTGAACCCAGTTTTCCCCGCCTTGCTGTTTTACTCGGGCCCTGGGTGGATGGGGTGGTGTCCCCCACATCAGCGAGGATGGGTGTCCACTCAGTCCAGAGGCAAACATGCATCTCACACAGAAATAATGCAGAACCAGCCATCTGGGCACCCCGGGCACGCTCAGGTTGATGCACAAAACCAACGCTGCGCGTGGCCCTGACGTCTGCGTGTTCGCATCACTCCACACACATTGCTCGGTCATCGCCTCGGTGAGTTTGTAAGCTCGTTGTGTGGTTCTGGGGCTCTTTGTCCGGGTGGTGGTGGTGGTGATGACAGGCTCCCCACTACCCCAGCTCAGGTATGGAAGGTGATGGCATCAACGGCTCCTTGTTTCTCAGACACTTGAGCGGGTGCTCTGTGCAGCCAGTTCCACCTGCAGCAGCATCTGTTCCCTATGCCGATTCCATTCGGAGGGTGTGCCTCCCTTCTGTTGAGGGTGCAGCCTTCTTTCAGAGAAGAACTGTGTCCTGTTCGCCTATATCTCCTGTGGTGTATCTCATGGTTGAATAAGTAGCTATAGTATACCTCGGTGGCTGAATGATAGGTTCATTAGAAGGAAAACTTTATACTTTTTCTTTTTCTTTTTGGGATGGAGTTTCACACTCAATGCCCAGGCTGAAGTGCAATGACATGATCTTGGCTGATTGCAAACTCTCCCTCCCGGGTTGAAGTGATTCTCCTCCCTCAGCCTCCCAAGTAACTGGGGCTATAGGCGTCTGCCACCATGCCTGGCTAATTTTCATATTTTCGTTAGAGACGGGGTTTCACCATGTTGGCCAGGTTGGTCTTAAACTCTTGACCTCAGGTGATGCACCCACCTCGGTCACCCAAACTGCTGGGATTACGGCCATGAGCCACCACACCCAAGAACTTAATACCTTTTTTTTTTTAGTCATAATGGGCTTGTTAAATGCTTACGTTAATGTTTATTTTTAAAAATGTTATCTGTGACCTTTCAGCTTTTCATAGCACTTCTCGTGTGAATATTTTAAAAAGGCCCTTTACTCGTGGGGGAGAAGCCGTTACCCCTTTCAGCAGAGGGAGATGGAGGAACACGCCCTGGTGCGTCTGAGCACAGGCAGTCACCCCAGCCTTGGTGCTTGCTTAGGTCTGTTCTCCGTTCACCGTAGCACATCCACTCTCATTGTCAGCTTAAAAATAAGCTTTTTCCTCTTTCTAATCAGAACAGTTAGTTTGTTAACCATCACATTAAGGTATCGAGAATGATGGCTTTCAGGCCTCAGATATGACACAAGTAGTAAATGCAGCTGACCCTGAACAACATAGGTTTTGAGCTTCGAAGGATCACTTATGGTAATTATTTTCCAACCAACCCTTACTGAAAAAACCTGGCTTTGTGGAGGGCCGACGTTTCCTACATGCGGTTCTATAGGGTGGCCGCGGGTCCTGTGGATACATAGATTTGGGTAAACTCGGGGAGTGTTCTGGAATCCATGTCCCTGTGTATACAGAGGGACAACTGCAGCTTTTTAAAAGTTTGTGTCCTGCCTTGTCCTAAAATGGCTCCAAGGTGGATGCAAAATTATTTCATCCTTTTGGTTTTCTTGGTGGGATATTGATGTTTATTCTTCAGTGTCTAAAATCCTGAGTGAACAGAGTTAGTGCTTCAGGAACAAAGCCCGTCTGGAAACACATATTGAGATATCCACCTTTTCTTCATGGTTTCACTAAAGGCCATGATCATATTTTATTCGGTTGAACTGTAGGAAACTGCCAATATTTGCTGTTTTTGGGCTACAAAATGGCAACTTCGTACGATATTAAAAACAAAGGCTTCCTGGATGGGGAAAATAGGAATCGGTGAGAACCTGAAGTTGTGTGTCATGGCCTCTGAGTCACAGGTAAATAAACCTGTGTGAGGGGAAGTTGGCTGTACAGTATTTTCCTTCTGTTTTGAGACTGTCAGAAAAAGGACAGTTCCATTGCGTTGGGTCCCTTTTCCTCACCTTTGCTGCAGAGGGGACTTGCCATTATTCCTCTTGTTTCCAGTGCCCAGGAGGCTGATGCCACATAGAAGACCTGCAGGTCGATGGATGTGAAACAGGCATCGGACACGCTGTGCACCTTGGGACCCATCTGAGAAGTACGTGCTTGCAGCAGGTCTGAGGTGAGGGCGTGTTCCATCTCCTCTCGCTTCTCTGGCTTTGCAGGCCTTTGAAGTTGGTCCTGGAAAGTGAAATTAGTTAATGCTGATTAGCTCCAGGTCAAAGCCGGGGGGCCGAAGGGACCCGCCCTTCACTCGGGGTGTGAAGCATTGGGCCCACCCATTAGGAGGCAGGAGGGACTCGAGAAAGCCGCACATGCCCTCCAGTTCCCTTATGTTGAAATTTTTTGTACTCGGCCATGCCAGGTCATTTGGGAGGTAAATGGGGGGTTCACATGGGGGTGTGCAGTATTCTTAGGTGTCAGGTGCGAGAGTTGAATTTGTAGAAGCTGTGCGGATAGGAAAGGGCCTGGCAGGGAGTGCTGTTTACATGGAGCCAATTTAACGCGAGATCTGTGCTCTGCCTGGGTCCGTGTCTGACCGGTGTCTCCCAGTCTGCAACAGGACGTTGACGTGACTCGGCGCCATCGGCCCACTCTGTGTAGACGTCTGAGGATCTGTGCGCGGCTGCTCTGTGAGAATGAGTTGTGATAATGAACTGAGAAACAGTGAACAAACCCTGAATTGGTTAGCACTGGTTCCACGGCCACTTCTGCCGTGGTTGGGGTCATTCATAATAAAGTGTGCTGGACTTCTATGCAGAGCTCTGAATTTCAGAGGCCCTTTAACTCGGCAGCTAACCAGTGGCTTCCTTCAGAAGACATTTGAGTCCCCTTTACCTACCAGGGTGACCCTGGGAGTTTGAAGATGAGTGAGACAAGCCCTCCCTGTCTTGTGGATTTTACTGTCCAGAGGGGAGACAGATGTGGACGGTGAAGGGGGCCCTATCAGAGGTCAGCGCACGTCAGTTTTATTTCTTCAGCACTTGTTGTGTTCAGGCGGTGCCCCGGGCCATGTGTAGAGCATCTGGGGACACTGCCCATGGCATCCCAGGCACAGCTAGCATCTGCGCCATCTTCATACTTGGCCTGAGTTTTGGGGAAGCACCGAGGATGGCTTCTACCTTTGCTGGAGAGAGTTGGAAGTCAGGGCAGCCCTCCACAAGATGATCGCCAGCTGATTCCTCAAGAAAGAGAGGTGGTCCCCACATGGGCAGAGCAGGGCAGCATGCACAGACCTGGGTGTGGGGTCTGGGGCATGTGCATCTGAGTGGGGTCTGCTGGGAGACAGCAGGGGTGAGGTGTGAAGGCAGTTGGAATTGACAGGATAAATTATCACTAAGGCGATGCTGGTAAAACATAAAATTGGGACTCTCTGGGGTAAATGTGGACTTAGGGTGACCCTGAGCGTGGGTATTTTCAGGCTCTGAAGGCAAAGATTTAGGAAATTGGGGCAGAGCTGAGCCCCAGATGAGGATGAAGACCACCCTTGGGATGTTGAATGAGACAGGGGTGGAAACCCAGTGAATGTCGTGGGGTCAGTCCAGGAGGAAGGCAGCAGAGGAGACCGGTGTCCTCAAAGGCCCCGTGGGGCCTGCCTCTCAAAGTGCTGGGATTACAGGCATGAGCCACTGCTCCCTGCCAATACTTTTAAAATTTCTAAGCTACTCTCTCTCATACCCACTCCAGTATTTTTTTTTTTTTTAGACTAGGTTTATGGCTATATTTTTTCCAAGGGAACCAAACAGTTACCTGTTTGAAGTACAAATAACACCGTGTTTAAAAACCGAAAATGCCAATTTGCATAGAAGTTTCCAAATACCCAGTTGGTTTGAGCCTTGCATTGCAGTGTCACTACCTGCTCTTAAATTTCTACATGATGTATAGATAGCGAGGCAGGGACGGCTTGTGCATCTTCAGGTTTCGATTCTACTAACTTGGGCTATATTTTCATTTATTTTGGCACATCTGTGGATGTGGCAAGCAAGGCCAGGGTATTTATTTTGAAGCTTGTCCAATAACAGTTGGGAAGATTTTCACATTTTTAGAATTTTCATAGTAATAGTTATAATTTACAAAGAATTTAAAATTGTGTAGTCATTATTTTGCTTTTTTCTAGATATGCCCTGAAACAGGGTTGCTAACTATCATTCTACATCACAGGATTCAGAACAGGACCATTTTGGAGCAGACGCCTGTAATCGAGGAATTCCGCCTAGTCAGTTCACTTTAAACTTGTTTAAAATGTTTTCTTTATCCTAGTTGGCACCTGTGGCTATAGTTTGTTTTCACTGCTGAGGAATATTCCATGATGGAAACTGTAATTCATCTGTTTTTCATATCGGTGGACATTTGGATTATTTCGGGAGGGTGTGTATGTCTATTCAGCCTTCGTTTTTTCAGGATATTTTGTAGAAGATAATGTAACAGTGTAACATCCTCTGCTACGGAGCCAACACGAACCCTGATTACAGCCACACAGACTCTCACACAGACTCTCAGGCCTTGTTACAAACGCACAGAACCATTTTCTTAAGTTGAAACACAGTAGCAGAACCTGAATCCATGTGAACGGGTCCTCTGATCTTACACTTGGAATTCACTTTTTATTACTATGTCTGCTAATTAGGAAGCATATCAATTATACAGAAATCTGAGAATATAAAATTATATGTTTATGACAGAAAAAAAACTTATTTAATACTCAAGAACACATGGCTATGTTTTTCCCTCATGCCCCACCACTGTTTTCTTTGCTTGAAATGGGAAATGACATTTGAAGGCGGTTTTCTAGCCACTGTTAGCCTGGCATAGTTCTTCAGAGACAGAGGATGTAAAGCACATGGAAAATTTCTGTTTGTGGAATGTGATTTCCCGATCACCTCATTCAGGCTGCCGCCGCCTTCCCCTCTGGCCGCCTGCATCATGGGACGTCTGAGGAGGTCCCTGTTTCATCCTCTGGAAATTCGGAAAAGGAAGGAGAGGAGGGCGTACAGGGTGTGGTGCATTTGTGTTGGTCCTTCGAGGTTTTATTTGGAGTCTCGGCTGCCTTGTTGGTTCCTGCCTTTATGTCCCTAGCTCGTGGCTTTGTCCTTGTGTCTAACTCACAGGCAGACAGATGGAAAGGGAAGTTGTATTCAGCCAACAGCTTGATCTTATTCTCAAGGCTCAAATCGACTGGGTAATTGGAGACTTCTGTGCAAATGGGCATTTTTGGTTTTTAAACACGATGTCTTATTTGTACTTCAAATGGGTAACTGATTCTCTTGGAAAAAATATAGCCATAAAGCTGGTTCTTTAAAAAAAAAAAAAAAAAAAAAAAAAAGGGAGTGGGTGTGAGAGAGTGGCTTAGAAATTACACCAGTAATGGTTGGGCGTGGTGGCTTACGCCTGTAATTCCAGCACTTTGAGAGGAGGAGGCAGGTGGATCCCCTGACGTTAGGAGCTTGAGACCAGCCTGGTCACCATGGTGAAACCCAGTCTGTACTGAAAATATGAAAATTAGCCGGGCATGGTGACAGGTACCTGTAATCCCAGCTACTTGGGAGGCTGAGGCAGGAGAATCACTTGTACCCGGGAGGCAGAGGTTGCAGTGAGCCGAGATCGCGCCACTGCCCTCGACCCTGGGCGACAGAGCAGAAACTCCATCTCAAAATAGAAAAAAAAAAAAAAAAAAAAAAAAAAACCCGGTAATGGAAACCTGATTGCATCATCTGTGATGGAGATGGCAGATGGCTGTTGGACTGTTCTGTTTGTGTGATGATGATTATGGGAATATTTGTGCTGAAATTCACAGAACTGAACACTGTCCGCTCTACAGCAATTTTTAAAAAGCAGTAATATGCTCATTTTCAGTACTGTTTTTAATGGAAGATGGAATTTGCAGATGATTCATTAGGGCAAGCCTGTCTCAGGAGTTGGTAGACGATTCGTTAGGGGCCTGTCTCAGGGCCCTTGGGTTGGGTTGGATTGGGTTGGGTTGAGTTTTGTTGGGTTGGAAAAGCATTTCCTATTGTGGGCAGTAGCATGGGGCATGAAAAGGATATCGCCAAGGAAACATGTAGAATCCTTTGAAGAAACATGTGTTCTAACTTCCTATAAGATAGAATTGGAATTTATAATGGTTTTGTTTTCTAGAGTCTTGGTAGAATAGGGAAGACAGTGTAATAAAAGCTAATTTTGAAATGAAGAATTTGAAAGATTTTTAACAACAATAGCTCTAGAAAGTCACCCTGGAAATGTTTTTAAAGATGTTCAGTAGCAATAGCTGTAGGAAGAGTCACCCTAGAGTTACTTCTTGAGCATTGGTTTCCTGGCTGTATCTTCCGACTTTCATTTTGAAGTTTTGCTGTGAGTTGGGGATGTGTGGGAATAGCCATCCCCAGGTGTTGGGTAGGAGTGGCCCTGCAGGGGGGTGCATGTGCCCCGAGGCCTGAGGCACTGTTCCAACCTAGCTTGGAACATGGGGACTCTTGTCAGTGGCTGGAGTAAGAGTACCAGCCTGGCAGGCTGGGGAAGCCCCGGGGTGGTCTGGGCACTGTCCTCCCTGCCTGCCGGACGGCAGCTGGAGGAGCTCGAAGGCTGCCTGCCTCGTGGCTGTCAGTGCAACAGCCCCTCCTGGCCCTGGAGCAAATTTAGGTCCATGAGTCTCTGCGCGGGGACTTGCCTCCTGGGATCTCCGCCACTGTCCTGAGGGCCCTGATGCCACTTTCCTCGTGGGACCCAAGTCTCGGGCAGCTGCGACCCCAGATTCTGTTGCTTTCTCTGCCGTCTCATTCCAGCACGAGTGCTCACCTCACTCAATGCAGAGCCTCAGGTTCCCTCAAGATCCCCAGAGATGGAATCTCCCAATTTAACAAGATAGTTGGTGACAAGATTTGAGCGACACTGATTTAACTCAGCTTCCAGAGTTTAAGTTCCCAAGACACAGTCCTGCTCCTTCCCTGGCCTCATCCTGTGTGGCTGGTGTGGATGCGGGGTTTCCGGAGGGTGGGGCTGAGGCAGGTCAGCAGCAGGGGGATGGCTCATTATTGATAGCTCAATGCCTTGAGGATAACTAGGATTAATGAGCTTTATACGGTTGTAGGTTTGGGGTATATATATGTATATATATTTTTAAACGAATTGGATTTCACGTGGGGCAACCTACAGCAGTGTGGCCTCACCAGGTGCTCAGCAAGCCACCTGCTGACACTGTTACTGTGTGTGTTCCCGTCATCCCACGAGGTGGACACGGTTATCACCACATTTTTCTGTCATGAAACTTGGAGAGGAGAGGGTTTAGGAAACTCCTGAAGCCACACTGTCAGCGGGACCCAGGTGGTCTGGCCTTAGACCCTGCACTGTTTGCACTCGCCATGGATCTCGCCATGCTGTCAGCAGACCCGGGTGGTCTGGCCTTAGAACTCACGCTGGTCGCCCTTCCTTGCCACGTTGTGGGGTTTTTCCTGCTTCTGGGCAGCATTTGATACCTTGTGAAACAAGACAAAGACTTACTATGAGTGGATATGCCATTATCTGAGATCCAGAACGTTTCCTGGACCTGGCGTTGCCGATGTCATGTAAGGGGAGGTAAAAACATTTTCATTGTGGTCATTGGGGCTCCTGAAATGGTGTTTTTCCCAGTGAAAATTGACTCATAAAAATCTGTTAACTCAATACTATGTGAACAGAAGAAGTGTGTTGGGCTCCAGTTAAATGTCTGAGAGCCACAGAAGTAAATGAGGACACCTTCCGAACACAGCCTCCCGGAGGAGGCCAAGGACGTTTGCCTGGAGGGTTTGCCATGAAGCAGGACTCGGGCAGGGCTGGTCTGCCTGGAGAGGCCTCTGCCATGATGCACGTTAGTTGAAGTAGTTGAGGGGTAGTGGCGTGAGGTCAGTGGTCCCCGAGGAAGCCCCTAGCAAAGCCGGTTGCCGTGGGATGGAAAACTGCCATTCAGTGGCTGTAATCCTGGCTTCACGGGGCTGACGTACAATCCTGCACTTGGATACTTGGATTCCAGCCAGGTCAGATGGTTGTACCTTGGAGGGGCGTTTGTGTCAGTAGAGAGCAGAGTGGTGGTTCCCAGAGGCTGGGAAAGGACAGAGGTGAGGCCCCTGAAGGACGCTGGTCTTCCTGGTTTAGGGGTTTGGGGCTCAGCCACCTTCCTGTGTCTGTGTAAATTATACCCAGGATCATTTTCACTCGCCCCACTTTAGTTGAGCATTAGAGATTCAGGATGTGTGTGCCCACGTCACCTGGGCCGTGATCCTGGAGTTGGGTGAGACTGATTCCCGGGTTTATAGAATTACTCTGGGATTATTAAAAACAAAAGCACTTGAGGCATTCATAATGCTATTTCCTGAACATAATTTATGTTCAGTTCTTCAGAAACATTTGTCTGAGGAAGCATCTATAATTTTTGTTTTCTGCCACTCACTGCTAGAAAGCATTGTGCAACACTCAAGTGAGTGGCATTATTCCTCTCCTTCCACCATGCAAGTAAGATTAAAGGTACCTCTGGCTCCCCTCAGTCTTCTCACCTGCAGGACGCCTGGCGTGGCAGTGTGCTGCCTTCCGTCTTGCTTCTGGGGAGAATTAGTCGTGTTTGTGTGTGCTGCTCAGCTCAGCCTGGTACGGTTGTGTGGGTGAGGAGCTTGGTTGCTAGGTGACCCTCCCAGGCCTGCCTCCCACCTCCCTAGGCCTTGTTCTAAACTGACAGATAAACAGTGTGTTTTGGAAGAGGACAGCAGCAGGGCAGGAGAGAGTTTGTTCAGACTTTCTCCTTGCACTGACATTTGAGCCCTCATCCAGCCTGGGCCCTTCTACAGAGCTGCCTTTGTGTGTTGCAAATCACTCCCTCCCAGTAACCGTGCTTTCAGAGGTTTGGAAATGTGACTTAACTCATCTTCAATTTAAAGCGTACTATTAAATTTTAATGTTGAAACTGATGTATTTTATGGCCTTTATTTGATTTCTCTTGATTTTTTTTCCCCATATGAGACATTGCATCTTAAGGGAGACAGCCTGGTGTTGGCCTCCTTTCCTAAGGATGGAGGTGAATTCTGAAAGCCCTTTATGTAGGCAGCGAAATAATCAGGGAACCGTTATTATAGCTATGCCTGTCCATGTAAAGCGAGCACAAGTCATAAGCAGAAAAAAGTGCAGCCCAGGTGCAAGGTGAGCCCTAATGTTGCCTGTGCCTCGCCTCCCCGCCTTGAGGAACGGAAGTGCAAGCGCAGGTGGTTGAGTTAGCCTCCAAGCCCAGCCTGCGCCCCCCTCACATCCCTCTGCATCTGCAGGGGCACAGGCCGTGCTTCCATCCCTCGCTCAGTGCCAGGACTGATGCGTCAGGAACAGGGGGTGCTGTCTGCCCCTTGTTCGGTGCCAGGGATGATCTGTCAGGATCCCTCATGCTCAACTGGTCCTCACGTCTTCATCACCAGCCTCTTGCTGGTAACGGGCTTGTTATTACCTTGGTATGTGTTGTGGGGCGGTGCTCAGTCCTCCGAGGGAGGGAATTGGCCCGTAGACGATTCACATTCAACAGGACCAGGGAATGGGTTCTTGTTCCATGTCCTGGATCCCAGGAAGCCTTTGTCCTGGACCCTGTAACCCCTGGCGTCTTCCTGAGAAACGCTGGTGCCACTGGAGCACAGCCCGGCCCCCTCCAGTTTCTCCGCTTTGTAGCTGCACTTGTGTTTAGCAGGTCTTCCAGGACTTAGACGCTGCTTGGTGTGAGCCAGGTTTTGTGTAGAAAGAGGACAGGTCCGAGCTGGCAACCAACCAGCCCAGAACTATCTTTTATGCTTCCAGATTCTGTGGCCAAAAACTTACCCGTGGACATTGAGGGTGATGCACTTCTGCTCCAAGACGTCTGTGGACTCAGCTAGAGGGATGGAAAGGATATGGAGCCTCTTCACTCTTGGCCTGGGCCTGGACCTGCTGTGTAGCCTCTCAGTGGCACCAGGGCCCCCTTGTGTCACAGCAGTCTCAGGTTGGTGGCACTGCCCCAGGATGTCCCAGGCTTCATGATGTCCAGGCTCCTCTGGCATGGCGGCCTCAGGTGGGTGGCACTGCTCTGATGGACGTCCCAGGCTTCATGATGGTAGGGGCTCCTTGTGCCATGGCGGCCTCAGGATAGTGGCACTGCCCCAGGGTGTCCCAGGCTCCAAGGCCAGTGTTCTGTCCAGCGATGGGAAGTTGTACTGTAAGGTCTAGTATCGGAAGATGCCTGGGGTGCTATCCTTCAGAGTGGTCCTACACTCACCACAAATCAAGCCAGGGGAGGCCCTGCCAGAATTTGCAGCTGTGTTTCAGGTCGTTCCACAAGGCCTCTTTTATTTTGGCCTAGTCAGGTATATAATTCTTTATCTCTTTGATGTTTTTGAGACAGGCAAAAAAACCCTTTTTGTTGCCCGGGCAGTGGTGTGAGCACAGCTTACTACAGCCTCAACCTCCCAGGCTCAAGCGATCCTCCTGCCTCAGTCTCCTGGGTAGCCAGGACCCACAGACACATGTTCCACGTTTCCCCATGCCTGACTTATTTTTGTATTTTTTGTAGAGATGGAGTTTTGCAATGTTGCCCAGGCTGGACTCGAACTCCTGGACTTAAGCAGTCCAGCTGCCTCAGCCTCCCAAAGTACTGAGATCACAGGCATGAGCCACTGTGCCTGGCCAAGTGTGTTTCTAATTTCAAAATTAAGAGGACCCAGAGTCAGTTAATTGCGTCTCTACTGGAACATGCTACTTATAGTACATTAGGAAAAATCCAGAACTTGGAAAAGGACAGACACAGCCCTTCGAGGTTGTCTGATGAACCCCTGGGGTCTTTAACCATCTGGAGGGATGTACCGTGTCAGACTCACTGTTGTCAACCGGCTGAAGCCCAGGTTTCATGACGTTATGTGTCGGCTTGTAGTACTTTCTCTGGCAGAGATGCGAGTGACTTCGCTCAGTGAGAGGCTCATCTCAGGGACTTCATGTCCTGAGGGACAGCAGCCTGTTTGAGCTAATCGAGCAATCCCGCACTACCCTTATTTTCTGAAACGCCTATGAGTGACTTCTCACACGGTCTTTGAAGCGGCTTCATGCCCGCGCTCCTTGGTAATGATCGAATGCTTTTTTTGACCCCTCGTCCCCTTTCTTTGGGGTGTTCCAGTCTGAATTCTCATGTGTTCTGCTACGGGAATTTCTGAAGCTGCTGAGTGTAGAAATCACTGAGGGAGGTGGTGCTCCCACCCCTGTGAGTCTTCCAGGCATCATCCTCTCCGAGGCTTGGTGAGGTGGCGTCCATGGCACACCGAGGAGGCTGTGCTCCTGTCCCCCATGAGCTTTCCAGGCGTCCTCCTCTCCCCTCCGGGGGGACAGGAGGAACCTTTCAAACCCTTCTTAAACTTGTTTTCATGTCTTTATTTTAACAGATTTCTTTGCATCGTCTCCCTTATCCAGAAGTGAGGGTGAACGCTGAGTTATTCACGGGAGTCAAGAAACCACACGCAGCCCAAAGAGACGTTTGTTTCCCTGGAATGATTTGTGTGTGTTCACCTTAAAATGCAACTTAGTAAAACAGGTGTGTTTTGAGGAATGACTTTAAATTACCCAGGTAAAAATGTGACAGTTAAATTTCATCGTCTGTGCGGGTGTCCACAACCCCCTTCTGTGATTGCGTGTGAGTTTGTGACTTGTGGTTATTTTTGAAGAAAGAAAATCTGTTGCTGAGGACTTCAGAGGGTGTGCTGGGATTGTGTAGGGTGGACATCGGGGGCTTCAGTCTGTGGCTTCCTTGAAGAGGTTCAAATTAAGGCTGAGAGTCCCTACTCCAAAATGCTCTGAAACCTGAAACATTCCGAGCTTTCCCATGACACTCGAAGGAAATACTCTTCAGAGCACTTTGGATTTCAGGCTGGGGATGCTCAACTGGAAAGTGAAATATTGCAAGACCCTTCTGGCCCCAGGAGCTTGGATAAGGACATGGAGGGGGCCTGTGCCGGGTGTCCCTGGTGTGTGAGGCAGCCTGGGCTCGCTGGACTGGTTTTTGTAGGAGCCACAGAAGGGAAAGAGGGTCAAAGTGGCCACGCCTGACTCCTGAGAAGGCTGAACCAGAAGGAGGTGGGCACGGAGGGCAGCAGTTGAGTCCCCAGCGTCCGGGGCTCCTGTCCCTGGTGGAGTTGAGAGCCTCCTCTAGTTGTGGCCTCTCCCCTGTCAGCAGCCACTGAGGCCTGAAGGGAGAGGGGGCTGAGGAGAGGAGGGAAGGATAGGCCTGCTTCTGGAGAGGGCCGGCGTCGGCCTGTGCTAGCCTCATGTGCTACTCCGGCATCCAGGGTGCACGGCCGTGCCTCGTGGTGTAGTGGTTCCTGGGATGCACAGCACTCTTGTCTGCAGTAACGTCTTTGTCTCCAACCCTTGGAGGCAAGTTACCTTTTTCCCCAGTGAAAAGAGGTAGAAAATCTTATAGAAATGCATTTGCTCTAATGTCTGTTTTCCGATAAGAAGTGGTCGCTTAGGCTAAATCTTTGGGAGGTCAAGACAGGAGGATCACTTGAGGTGAAGGGGTTGAAGATCAGCCTGGACAACATAGCAAGACCCCATCTGTATAACAGAAAAATTAGCTGAGTGTGGTGGTGCGTGCCTGTGGTCCCTGCTACTCTGGAGGCTGAGGTGGGAAGATCACTTAAGGCTACAGTGAGCTGCGATTGCTCCGCTGTACTCCAATCTTGGCGACAGAGCCAAGACCCTGTCTCAGAAAGAAAAGTTAAAAAAAAAAAAATCCAGAAATGTCATTTTCTTTTTAAATCATCCCAAAAGAAAAACCTTTTTTTCTAAGAATGTGAAGGGTAACTGATACGATTCTTTCCTTGCATTGTTTCTCCTTTTCAAATATTTACAGTAGTCCGTCCACATCATCTCTCATCTCTCATCTCATTACAGAGCAGCAGGTTTCTTTGAGGTTAGTGGTGTTTCTCTGTGTTGCACCTTGGAGAACAGCCAGCATGAAACCTCTTACCACGATCATGCGCATTGTTTGTAGTCTCAATTCAAATCCTCTCCAGAGACGCCTGTGCTACTTATTATAGCAGAACTTTGGTTGCGCTGACATGTGCATTCAGCTAACGGTTTTAAGTTCATATCTGAGATGATGCTGTATAATTCATGAAGCATATGGGATCAGTAATGATTGATGATAATTCTGGCTGATGTCATTTAGAGGATATTTTTCACTTCAAATTAAAACTTCCTTCGCGATAGTCATTTTGGGATTCATTTAACTATGTGCTTTATTTCATAGCTCAAATTTTCATTAGTCATTTCATAACACAGGATTTTGAAAGCAGACTTGGCAAAATCTTTCTAACAAAATGTTTGCTTCTGACGTCCCAAGGAACAGCACTCAGAATTGCTGGTAACTGTGGTACATTTTAAGGCTGATGATAGAAGTCACTTGAACGGTAAGGGCTGCTTTGTGAGGCAGATGGGGTTTGAACCCCGACCCTCCTGATACACCAGTCCTGACCCTGGCCTTCTCTCCTCTCCACTGGGAGATGAGAAGGGTGCCAGCATCCACCTCACAGGCCGTCCTGAGAACCTGGGACTAAGGGCTTGTGTTCCTCTTGCAGGTGGCGCAGATGTGGGAGCTTGACGATATACACACTGCAGGCTGCCAGTGTCGGGGTAATCCAGTTTTATTCATAAAGGGGGGATTTGCTTTGCTCCCCTGCAGACCAGGTGCAGTGCTGCTGTTGTAGCAAGTGTGTGGATCCTCTTGGGTGGTCCTCAGGTGGACAAGGAGTCACCGATTCGGATTCCCAGTGTTAGATATGAGGGGACCAAGGACCTCATGTGTTCAGAGGGGAGGAGTAAAAAGCTTCCCTTGTAATTCCAGGACTGTCTATCCCAGGAATGCCAAACCACTGGCTTTCACCTGATGCTGTCGTAGGTGACACTGTATGGAAATGAGGACTCATATTTCGCATACCTGAGCACTCAGTGCCCATCTCCCTCCAGGGCCGTGGCCGAGCCCTCTTGATTTCTCTGGGTTGCCACCTGGGGATCTGTAAGCCCAGTGTCGTCTCTGGTCTCGGCCCCCGCTCCCCATAGGGACAGGAGATGGCTTCAGGAGGCTGGTGATGAATGCCTGAATGAAGTCGACTTGTGACTGCAGTTCTGTCTAAGGGCCTCCCCGGGTGTTAGATGTCAGTAAATGACACCTGTGTGTGGATCTCATGTGATGAGAGAAACAGTGGGGGAAACCAAAGCTTGTGGAGTCTGCAGGTTCTGGACTTGGGGTTGTGTGCACCTGTGTACTTGGTGAGGGGTGTGATGTCTGGAATGAGTGTGCAGGTGTGTCACGTTTGTGCGTGTGTGGTGAGTGTATTTAGCAGGTGTGGGTGGAGTGAGCATGTTCATGTGTGTCGTATGTATTTGAGGGTGTGTGTGGAGTGTGTACACGCATCATATTTGGTGAGTGTATTTGAGGGTGTGTATGGAGTGCATACATGCGTTTGCACGTCTAGTATTGGGTGAAGGGGTGGCATGTGTGGAGTAAGCATGCATATGTGTGTGCTGTGTGTGGGGTTTCTACGTGGTCCTCCCCTGAGCCTGCTCCTGGGCCCTGCTGTCCTGGCAGCTTTCCAGTTTGGTGTGTCTTTGATTCCGGAAGATTCTGGAACCAAATTCTGAAGCTGTGATCACAAACTTGCAGCCCTGGAGGACGCTGGTTCATGGAGCCGGCACGAGAGTCTCTGTGCTGGCCTCACCCTGGGCTCTGTCCACAGAAGAGCATGTCTGATGATTGAGCTGTGTGGGTCTGTGGCTCCCCAGCCTCAAGTCAGCCCTCAGTTCTGTCTCGCCTCTGTTTTTCTTGCTGAGGGGCTCCGGGAAGTGGTGCCTGGGATGCCGTTTTCACCCTGGGGTTGCTTCACCAGCTGCCCAGGTGCTGGCTGCCTGAGGCCTGCTGCCATCCTGGGTGGACGGGGCTGTCACGGGGCCATGCCTGAGCACCTGTGGGAAGGCAAGGTTAGGAAGTGCCAGAGGTGAGTGGCTTCATCCCACACTTGATTTTTTGGAAAGTTCTGGATCTCATATTTTTCCCTAAGGGAAGTTAGAAACTGAGTTTCTCTTTAGGGGAACGTCTTTGCAGCGTCTGTTGTTGGAATGTTCTCCAGGTGTGGAATACTCGGGGCCGTGTGTGTTTGGGAACATCCGTGTCCTGAGCGAATTCAGTAGGGAATGGAGAGAGGCCTCCTGTCAGCTTGGCCTCTGTTTCCAGCTTGTTGAGAGTTGATGGCTGCTGGTATTCCAGGGAGAGTAAAACACTGGGCGGTGTGGGGTGGGAACGTTCCCTCTGACAAGGTCAGTGGGAAAGCATCTAAACAAACGTCGCTGTTCTCCGGGCTCCTCGGGGTCGAGCTTGTTTTGTGGTGTTGAGGGAAAGCTACCCTTGTTCCTGTTCCTCACCATTTGAAAGGTGTCCAGGGCTCGTTCCTCTGGGGAGGTGATGTGCGTGAGTGGGGGTCAGGTCGCAGGCTCCGAGGTTATTTGGGACCTGTCAACTGATTTCCTGAACACACAGGTGCTTGGTAAAGATGTTCCTGATTAGCTAAAACATGTCAACAGGACGTGATAGCTGGTGGTGGTTTAAAGCCTATCACAATTTTCCTGATACTTTTTAAATGCCTGTTGAATAAGGGAGGATTCACGTATTTTTGTTTTCCTGTCTGCATACTTGATATTTTGTTTTTTGTTTTTTATGTGGATGTGCAGTTAACAGGATTTAGAAGCAGTCTCAGCCCTGGGGAGACTTCAGGGCCACCTCAGTCAGTGCTGAAGGGAAGCAGGGATTTGGGGGCTACCTCCTCCATAGGACAGACACCAAGGGCTAGAGGTCAGCAATCTCAGTGAGGTCACAAAGACGGGCACAACCAGCACCCTGGCCTATATGCCTCTCCTTCACATTTGTCTCTGCTCAAACTGCTCTCCTGGGTCATCACGGGTGATCTCTAGGCGCGTGCTTGCTTCTTGTAGAAGTGGTGTCTGGCTGTGGTCAGTGTGGGCCCTCAGGACTTCCATGTTTTTGGCTCACATCAATATTGGACAGTGGTGTTTGTTTTGAAGTGGTAGATCCGGTGGATTTTGGCTTTACCAATTCATTTCATACCTGTTCTCCTAGATATAATATCTGTTCGTAAGACACATGTTTTCCTAGGTGCTGGGGCCCTATCATAAGCCGCGTGTTCTCCTAGGCGCTGGGACCCTCTTGTAAGCCGCATGTTCTCCTAGGCGCTGGGACCCTCTTGTAAGCTGCATGTTCTCCTAGGCGCTGGGACCCTATTGTAAACTGTATGTGAGGGATCTCGGAGGTGCTCCTTATGAGGATCCAATACCTGACCTGAGGTGGAACAGTTGCAATTCAAAACCAGCCCCCAGAAAAATTGTCTTCCATGAAACCCATCCCTGGTGCCAAAAAGGCTGGGGGACAGCTGGTCTAACGCGGGCTAAGATTTCAGTAGATTTTTGGACTTGGGCCTCAGTTGAGGATTAGATTTTGAAAGGTGGGGATTGAAGGCTTCTACAGGGCAGGTTTTCATCTCCAGTGGGGCCTGGGCAGAACTGGGTAGAACTGACCCAGAACATGACTAGTCAGGCTGGCTCACTGCCTGCGTCCTGTGTGTGCAGCCTTGCTGTTTATTCAATTGTCTCGTGGTGTGGATTCCATCCACAGCCTCAGAGTAGTGGAACCCATTACTTCAAGGCTGATCTTATTTAACTTTATCAAAAAAGACATGAAAATCATTTAGTATAGATCTTCCAGATACCTGTATCCTTTCTTTTCCCAGAGGCTTTTAAGTATTGCAACTTAAAAATCTTCAAAAATAACTTTAAAGGAAAACCTCTAAGTACATTTTTGATGAGCACCCTTGACAGCTTTAATATGTGGAGTAAATTCCCTTGACTTTTGTATTGCTAGAAACTCGTTCATGTTTGTAGAAGACTTTGTATTTTGTCAACAGTGGCCACTGTTCGGTGACCATCATACCTGCCGTGGTCTCATTTAGAAAGTTGGATGTGGATGTATTAACTTTTCAGACACAAAAACACATGGGCTGTTCGTTTCTGGTTTTGATTTTTTTGTTTTTTTTTTCCCCCAGCTGAATTCAAGAAAGGGAAACAAGCAGACAGAGTAAGTACCAGAAAGCGTCTAAGTTGTTGGGTGGGGGATCCTACTATGGTGTTGGATTGTGTTCTGCCAGACATCACTCCTCAAAAAGTTGACCCTGAAAGGGCTGGCATTGCCCTCACCCTGCGACATTCGTCTATCTCACCAGAGAATGAAGAATCTGCCAGAGTACTGTGAGTCAAATTCAGTCAGAACTCGATTAAATAAGAGGCTTTGTCTCAAAGGCCAAAACATGAGGACACATTTTTAATTTTATTTATTTTTATTTTTATTTTTTTGAGATGGAGTCTCGCTCTGTCGCCCAGGCTGGAGTGCAGTGGCGTGATCTTGGCTCACTGCAAACTCTGCCTCTCAGCTTCACTCCTCTCTTCTGCCTCAGCCTCCCGAGTAGCTGGGACTACAGGTGCCCGCTACCACGCCTGGCTAATTTTTTGTATTTTTGGTAGAGACGGGGGTTTCACCGTGTTAGCCGGGATGGTCTCGATCGCCTGACCTTGTGATCCGCCTGCCTCCTCCTCCCAAAGTGCTGGGATTACAAGCGTGAGCCGCCGCACCCGGCCGAAAACATGTTTCTTTACTGCCTCAGTCCTCAGTTGGGTAGTATGTTCTTTGTCTTGAAAGGCGCGCTCTGCGAGATGGGAATCTTCCGGTTGCTTACTTTAGGGAATCCTGCCGGCTGTCATTGACTGGAGAGCGCAGTTTCCTGGCTGCCCTGGTCTTTGAGGGGAGGGAGACTGAGGGGTCATTTTCCTACCTGGACCAACATGTTTATTAAACCTGGCTTGTGGATCCTTTGGATCTTTTTATGAAGGAAAAGCCACTTCTGTGACTTTCAGATGAGTGGAAGTCATGTTAACAGAAATAAATAAATAAATAAATAAATAAATAAATTTTGGCTACTATGGAGAAGTTTTGTCCTTGTGACCTGTGAATACAGTCACGGGAGAGCAGAATGTTCACGGTGTGGGTGCTTACAGTGTACATGTAGAGTCACATTCTTCACTAGTATTACATTAAAAAGTGACAAGAGAAAAATATTTTGCTCATTACAACCTCGGTAAGAAGCTGGCAGTACTCTTGTTTTTGGAAGGGTGTGAAGGGAATATTGAGAAAGTATCATCAACGTTAGACTCACCCACTCTGCAAATCCTGGGCCGGCTCGCGTGAAGACCCCGTGATGGAAAGATGCACCCTTCTGCCCGGAAGGAGGTGAATCTTTGTAGCACTCAGGATGCATGGTTCATCTCTATATAAAGGCAGAGTGTGAAACGCCATGGAGGCTGAGAGAAGAGATGTAGTTAGCAAGTATGAGTGAGAAGTTTGGGGCTTGTTAGCACCTGGCGTGTGTGCAGCAAGCTTTGCTATCTGCACACGTGTGATCCTTAGAACCCTGGCGTGTGGAGCCATGAGGCTGTCGAGGGCCCCAGCTCCCGGCAGGCTGAGGAGTTCCCTGTTACCACCAGGAGAACCGTGATTGAAGGCTGTCACTCAATCCCAAGTCCCGGAAGGGGCTCCTTTCAGAGAGGAAAACACCCCTAGAGCCTCGGACAGAATTCAGTGATTTTTCTTATGATGTTGCTTAGATTTCGCAAACATGAAACCAAGAACATATTTCAGAATGCTTATGGTTCTTTTGTAACCATGGAAACAAAGTAATTTGCAGTCAATGGACAGTTTGCAGAAGCTGAACTGCCTACAGCAAGAGCACAGCGCTCTCCCTACCGCCCTGGGCCTTGCTCCGGTTTGCTGGGGAGGCTTTGCAGAGCCTTTTGGCTAAGATACCTCTCCCATGTCCCATGTTGCTACCCCTGGTCACAGCCATACTACTGGGCACCTGTGCCGTGAGGACACTGAGTGGACACGGGGCCGCGGGGCAGCAGTTGGTCATGAGGTGGCATCCACATGGTCCGAAACAGGTTTCTGTTCATTAAGAATGATCGTTGCAATAAAAACATAGAGTGAAAGAAAACCCTCTACTGACCTGAGAATGCGTCAGCTGAGTTGGATGGGGAAGTGCAGTGAGGAAGGTGAGGACTGAAAGGAAATGAAGGAGGGAGAGGAAAGGAGAGAAGGGAAGT